GCCGGGCTTGTCTTTGCACTTCTGCCTTGCCTCAGCAAAACAGTCAAGCAGAGAATAAATAGACTACTGGAAGAATTCAGTCCAGTGGTGACACAGCCGATTTCAGACTGTCAGGGCTACTGTTTAAAACGTGCCCTATACAAACCAATAAGCCTGTTTAAAATGAAATTAAAATTGTGATTCAACTGTCAGCAACTTGATGAGAAATACATAAAGGATTTTTCTCTGCTCTTTCAGGAGTTGTGCTGTCACTGAGGAGAAAGAAAACCATTTCCTATTGTGTAAGACAAACAGATTAACTCTACCTTTAAATTCTTAAAATAATGTAGTTCTATTGTACATCTTAATTTCTTTTTTGTGTTTTGTTTTGTTTTGTTTTGTTTTTCAAGACATGGTTTCTCTGTGTAGCCTTGGCTGTCCTGGAATTCACTCTGTAGACCAGGCTGGCCTTGAACCCAGAGATCCTCCTGCCTCTACCACCACTGCCAGGCTGATCTTTTTCATTTTGTTTAAAATTATCTCGTTATTAAAAAGAAAAGACAAAATGGCTATATATAGAACACAGATTACACAATGAATAAGATTACATTTAGAATGATTTCTCCCCTTTTATTAAGTATAGATTCTTTTCTCGCACAGTATAATCTACAGTTTCCTTCCCTCTACTTCTCCCAGTTCATCCCCACCTCTCTGCCATCCTTAGAATAATTTTTAAAAGAAATGAAAACAATTTATTCTTCAGTGATTAGGTTGAATATAGAGTCAAAAGTAGTATGGAAAGAGCTGGGTATGGTGGCTCACACTTGAAATCTCAGCAACTGGGAGGTAGAGGCAGGAGGACCAGAAGTTCATTGCTAGTTTCAGGTATATAGAGAGTCCAAGGCCAACCCAGACTATATGAAACCTTGGATCAAAACCAACAAAACAGAAACAAACAAGAATAAATTGTTTATTACTTTACAAATCTTTGACCTGTGTCCTTTGTGTAACATGGCACAAACCAATCCTACAGTTAATTAACTCCAGACCCTGTGTGGCCATCATTTGGAGGACAGCTCCATCTAAGTTGTCATTTCCTTGAGAGAATAAGGAAGAGGGGGCTACACAGTTTCTCTCTATTATCTGATGTGGTTGATAAATTGTTTTTATTGTATCTCTTACTAATGGCTTCAGGTGTGCTTTGTATGCATCCCTCTACGTCTCTCACAGGCTATTGTGTATTTCTTATTTACAAATACAATCCTCTTGAACCATATCCACTTAGTGTACACTGCTTCTTGGGAGCAACCAAATGGTTAGAACTATGAAAGCATCTTTAAAAGGAACCACTTGATCTCAAGAGGTAACACTGACAAATGAGGAAATAGTAATCTAAACACGTTTAAGAATGAGGGAGTGTGGGTGGGAGCGACAGCTGGGATACGAAGTGAATAAACTAGAATTAATATAAAAAATAAAAATAATAAAAAATTTTTAAAAAGAAAGAAAAAATAGGAAGCGGCACTAAGGAGGATTCCAAGCAGGTGCAGCTTAAGGAGAATGCCTCCTCCTGCCCTGCAAGAGTGCAGAATTGCACATGGAAATCGAGTAGCTCAGACAGAGATTCTAGAAAATTCATATAGAAAGTGTTCCAAAAAGTTGGGCGTTGTCACTCACCACAATACCACTATTGTCAGTGCTACTATCATTATAACCTTGTACATAATATTATATATATATAATATATATAAAAATATATATAAATATATTACATATATATATGGAATTAGTCTGAGTTAATTTCCTTCATTTTAAGCAAAACAAGACGTAAAGATGATGAGCATCTTGGAAATATTAGGCTTTAGGTGTGTGAGAAGATTTATGTTTCTGATTCAATATTCCTGCTCACCGTGTGCTCAGGTTTGTTTCGTCCTGCTTCAGTGTAAGATGTATTCATCCCCAGATGTGTTCATTGCCTTTGGGTTATCAAATTTGGTTTGTGGCCATCAGAAACTCTCTGAAGATCCTTTCTGTTTCTAGGCTTCATTTTTCATATCTAATTTCTAATCTTCTTTTTTCTCTTAATCCTGTTTATTTTGGAGGGAAAAGAAAAACTTCCTTTTACTGATTCTCATTGTTTAATTCCCATGTATTTATATAGTTTCTGAAGCTTTTCTCATTACTGATTTCTACTTTCATTGCATTGTTATCAGAAAAGGTATTCAATACATTTTAGCTTTGTGAAAAACATGTTGAGACATTTTTGTGGCCTGCCCTCTTATGGAAAACAGGAGACTCAGTGCCACTCAGGAGACTATCTACTCTGAAGCCACTAGATGAAAAGGTCTATAGCTATCTGTTAGGTCTATGTGGTCTAGGGTGAAGCTTATTTATTTTTTTAAAGATTTATCTCTTTATTATTTACACAGTGTTCTGTCTACATGTGTGCCTATACACCAGAAGAGGGCACCAGAAATCATTATAGATGCTTATGAGTCACCATGTGGTTGCTGGGAATTGAACTCAGGATCTTTGGAAGAACAGCCAGTACTCTTAACCTCTGAGCCATCTCTCCAGCCCCTAGGGTGAAGTTTAATTCTGCTGTTTATTTTAAACTTTCATTCTGAGTGATCTGTCTATTGCTGAAAATTGAGTTTAAAGTCCTCTACTGTTTCTGTATTAGAATAAATTTCTTCCATTAGGTTCGCTAATATTTATTTCATATATGTAGGCACCCTGATATGGGGCGCACATTTAAAGCTAGTATTCTTTTTATTATTATACAACAAAATTCCTTATTTCTTTTTATTAGGTTTGATTTAAAAATCTATTTTTATTTAAGGTAAATAGGAATGTTCCTATTATCATTTAGAGTCTATTTACATGGATCCTTGAAGATCTGGCTGGCCTGGAACTGGCTATGAAGATGAAGCTGGCCTTGAACTCACAGAGATCCTCCTGCCTGTACTTCATAAGTTATGAGATTTAAAGACAGCATGTGCCACCACATCCAGCCGTAGTGAATAAACATTGTATAGTAAAGGGTTGGGTTTTATGCAATTAGTCAGTCACTCTATGCCTTTTTATTGAATAATTTGACCCATTTGTATTTAAAGTAAACTATTGCAAAGATTTTCTACTGTGATTTTGTTACTTATTTACTAATTTTGCTGTGGTTCTTTTCATTCTCCCTATAGTTATATCCCCTTTCTCCAGCAGTGTAGTTTAATTTCTTGCTTATATTTTGTTGTATCAAGGATTTTTGCTTTATAATTATGAATATGATTATTAAAGCCTATTTTGAAAATAACAAGTTTCTTTAAGCCATCTTTGTCTTTTCACTATTTCTTCCCTATTTTATATGCTTTTATGGTTTGGGTTTTTTGTTTGTTTGTTTGTTTGTTTGTTTGTTTATTGAAACATGTTCTTGCTTTGTAACCCAAGTGGCCTCAACCTATGAAAGAACACATGCGTTTCTTTTACTGAGTGTGACTTGTGTGACCGATGATAATGATTACCATCAATCCATTCATTTTCTTACAGATATAATTTCATTCTTCTTTAAAACTGAATAAGAACCCATTGTGTGTAGGCACCATATTTTCTTCACCCATTCCTGTACTGAGGGGCCTCTAGTTCTCACTATTGTGAGAGTTCAGCAATAAATGTACGTGTGCAAGTATCTCTGTGCTGACGTAGAATCCTTCCAGTGATGTTGATGAATCATACGGTAGCTCTATTCTTAGGCTTGTTCTGTTCTTTTCTTAGGGATTCTCATTCTGTTTTCCTCTTTCTCCACATCCTTGTCAGCATTTGTTGTCATTTTCTCGAAGGATAGCTATTCTGCCTGAGGTGAGATAGGACCTCAGAAAAACATTACTTTGCATTTTTCTGAGAACTGGAAATCTTAGACATGTTTCCAAATATTTATTGACCATTTGCATTTTTTATTTTGAAAATTTGTCCATTAAGCTCATTAACCCATTTATTGGTTGAATGGTTATTTTTGGAGTTTGATCTATCTAATTCTTTAGAGATTCTATATATTAATCTCCCAGGAAATGTAGAGTTGGCACAGACTTTGTCCCGTTCTGTTATCTGCCTCTTCACACTGCTGATTTTCTTCCTCACTCTGTCCTCCAGGCTGGCTCATCCACATGCCCTCCACCAGGGCCAGCACTACTATTCTGCCCAGGTAAGGTGCAGGACCTCTCCCCCCTCTTCAAATGCTACAGCCAGTAAGGGGCAGAACCAGCTCACCCATTCTCATGACCCCAAGACCACTTCTCCTGACTGCTGCAGATGGTGAGAGGCAGAACTAGCTCTCTGGAGCCCATGACCTTGTGGGAGATTTCCTGACTGCTGAAGGTGGCAAGGGGCTGGGGCATGACCTGTGCCTCCCCACAGCAGTGACAGGGCCAGCTCTCCCCTGCTCTCGGCCTCAGGGATGGTTCACCTGAGCCCCTGCCACCGGGGTCAGAACTGCTGTCCAGGTAATGTGCAGGGCACACTCTACCAAGTGCTGCTGCTCGTGAGAGATGGGCCCAGCTTTTCAGAGCACCACATCCAGGGAGAGATGTGGCCCCAATCATGTTCATCATGGACATCAACACTGACCTCTGCCACTGCATAGCCATGGAATCAGACCTAAACCTCAGTGGCAGCTTCGGCTGGAACCTCACTATGGCTCCAGGTGGCCGGGCTGGCCACTCACAGCAGGCTACTCTCTTCCACCCTGAGTCTCCATTTCCATCTCTCTTCCTACTGCTCAAGCTGCTCCACTTTTTCTTCCCCATCTGATCACCACATACTCACACACTGTGGTGGCTCCCTCTGCAGGCTGGCCACACAGCTGTCAGGCCCCTGGGTGATAATCCTCCATCATTGCTGAGCGGCATGACAGCAAGTAGGTGTCTATGGCCAGCCTGTGCCATGCATTGGAGAGTAGGTCTGTGGGTCACATGGACATCTGCAAACCTCTGTGTCTGCCTTCCTTCTGCTGCACGGCCTGGATTTGATTTTTATGAGTCCTAGGCATGAGACAGCTTTGGCCACCAAGCCAGGCATCAAGACAGGATGAACAAAGGCCCACCATCTGCTCTGCCTCTGACTGACATAAGAACAACAGCAAAAAGTGTTTCTTTGTCTATTGCCAAGGGTAGGGGTGTCCACCAATGTGCTTTTAAAATGCCGTGATTTATAACTTTCTCTGTTGTGTTACTATAAAAATTCCATGAAGATGCTTCCACACTGGAACATTATGTTCTGGGAGACCTGCATATAAGTTCCCAGGTCACAGTCACTTACATTGGGCTCCAGAATAAACCATGTCTCTCATTTCTTTGATATGAGAGCTGTTTCTTTCGACAACATATTCTCAAACAACACAAAGGAAGCAACTTAAGAGAGGAACGATTTATTTTGTCTCTCAGTTTAAGTGGGTACAGTCCCTTGTCAGAGGGAAGGTTAGTGGTGTTCATGGCAAAGAGAGCAAGCATATGACTAGGACTCGTCACATCCTCAAGGGCCAGGAAGCAGAGTCCATCCACATGCTCCAAGCCCTGCCTCATCTACTCCCCTACATCCTTCAGCCAGGCTCTAGCTCTCGAAGGTCCTCCTACCGTGGCACTAGCTTGGAACCAACTCTTTAAAACACAGTAACCTATGGATAATATTTTGCGTTCAAACTACAACAGAAAGACGAGGAAATCCCAAGCACTCCAACTTTTGTTTAAGCTTCCTAAAAGTTCTGCTTCCCAACAGTGCCATCACCTGGAGACCACATCTTCAACACATCATATCTAAGCTGTAGCTCCTGTGCTTCAGGTAACACCAAGTCCAGACAAGTTGAAAGAATTAGGAGGCTCTTGTTTCTGTTACCTGTCATGGCCACCGATTTGAACGAAAATACTTCGTAGAGGTTGTGGAGGAAAAAAAAGAGAAAAAGAAGGGGAGAAATAAGAAAACAGACATAAAGAAGGGTTTCATATATACCATGGAGAAGAAATTAGTAAAAAATAAATATTCCGTGGTTATTTATTTTATTTATTTTTGCTCACTGTGCAAATGGCGCAATTGGTACAGAAATGCAGCCAAAGCCAAGCAGTAACTAACTCCTGCTTGCAAACGCTAGAAGGGAACCCATTCTCCCTCAGTCCTCAGCAGGAAACAATGCTGCTGAGAAGTAGATCTCAGACCCTGAGCCTCCAGAATAAAGGTTCTGCAGCATTAGCCATTCGGTTGTGCTTTGCTCCAGTAGCCTCAGCACAGGAATAGGATTTTCCTCTAAATTACAGAGTCTAAAGGAAAAATCCAAGATTTTTACCCTGTTATGGAACAAACAGAGCTATCATTGACCTGGCAAATCTGGCTATCCCACACACTGTCAGGTTTTACAGTCTTAGTACCATCGCAGAGGGCAGAGGGCATGAAATTTTTCAGAGGAACATGTGGTCCTGTAACTTCCCTCACTCCTTGGAACTCTGTTTTGGGCTTCTTCTGAGCCTGAGTATCTCTCAGAGACAAGTGTTCCTTGGGTGGAGCCATGAGAGTGCAAGCCTGCAGATAGGCTCAGGCTGGCACCACTGCCCCTCCCATCTGGCTGAGAAGCTGCAATGTCATGAGCCTCTGCTCTCTCCTCCATCTCCCCTTTGTGATGCAACAGTCATCCCCTCCCCACAGGCAAGCGTGAGGGGCTCCCCAGTATGACACCACAAATGTTACAAGATCGTTCGGACTGAATGTGTAGCCAGTGACTCCATTTCAAACCTGTTCTCCTCATGGTGTGGCAGCTGTCTATCAAGATGAGTTTCCAGACCTTCTGCATAGTCATCGAGTATGATGATCAGTTGAAACGTGATCTTATCTGGGCCATGAGTGCTCAGACATTCGGTGACATATTCTTAATGCATCTGTGAGGAGTATTCTCAGTGAGATTGACGTCTGAGCCAATTTACCAAATACACCATATCTTTTCAAACATAGGTGGGCCTCCCCAGCCATTTGAAGATAAGAGTTCAGAAAGGCTAGCCTGCCAGAGTGATCCTTTTTCCACCTCCAATTTAAACTGAAACTCTGCTTTTTCTAGCAGCCATGGGCCTCACATGACCCTCACGTAACACTCTTTTCTGCACTACCCCCCAGCCTTAAAGGATCCTGGGAAATGCTAGCATGTACAGGGAGTTGGAGGTTAGCCAAAAGGAGGACTCTGTGATGCAGCTTCCACAAGGTGGGTTATTTATAATGGCTGGGACTTTGCAGCGATGTGTCTTGAGGTCACTCATGCTCCTCTAAGTAACCCTTCACCTGTGCTCTGTATGCAAGCCTAATAAGCATACTTGTTTCCCAAGCTGGACTCTGATGAAATTGTACTTTGTTCTGCCCTTTGTATATCTGAGCAGAATAGACATGCATTATTTTTACTGGCCCCAGAAAAGCCAATGCATCAATAGCAAATCTCTTTGTATGTATACAGAGAGAGAGAGAGAGAGAGAGAGAGAGAGAGAGAGAGAGAGATCTCCAAGACAGAACTCCAACTGGTCATTCTCTCTAGTGAATGATCACCAATGCACTGTGTATTTGGTCTAACAAATTAGGTCATTGGCATCAGGCTTTGCCCTGCTCTAGTTTAGTCCACATTGTGTAGCACACGGTTTACAAACAGATCTTGAGCACTCTGAAGACTGAAGATGATTGTGCGCCTGGGTGGAAACATAAAAACCAAGCAGCACTGACTGATAAACAACTTCTTTCTGGGAGTAGAAACATGCTAATTTAGCTGAGCTAGGTGGTGCATGCCTTTATTCCCAGCACTCAGGGAGGCAGAGGCAAGTGGATTGCCTGGTCTACAAAGTGAATCCAGGACAGCCAAGGCTACACAAAGAAACCCTGCCTTGATGCCTAGAGAAAGAAAGGAAGGAAGGAAGGAAGGAAGGAAGGAAGGAAGGAAGGAAGGAAGGAAGGAAGGAAGGTAGGAGGGAAAGAAAATGCTAATTTCTAGATTTACCAAGGTGAATTAAGACTGTAGAAACACTTGAGCGTATTAAAATCATGGCAGGGTAACCAGGCCCAGGAACCTTCTGGAACCACCACCACAAGGAAAGTCTGAAACTCCCTCACCTGGACCCCATAATAATATTAGCATCCAGAACAGGAACAGTGACAGCCCCCATCAACCTGTCATGTGACACCTGCTCTATACAGTGAAAAAAAAAAAAACAAACAGTAGGCAGAGAACTCCGAACTGTCTCCGGGGAACAGCTCAGCTCATCCTCCACTGTTGACACAGCTTATTCAAGGGCCATTATCCATTTTCCTAGTCGGCCATGTAGACTTCTGTCCATCTTCTGTTCCTTCTTCCGGACTCGGTCCTGGCCTTGGACCTCTGCAGCTGGACTCATCCCTGTTTCTTCACTCCGAAACCCGTGACCCACAACAACCCAGTTCTATAGAGGCAGACCCTTCCCTGTGGCTGCTTTAGGTTGCTGTCCATACAGACTCCAATTATACTTCTGAAATTCCGCAGCAGCCTCTGTGGTGGTTTGAATGAGGCTGGACCCCATAGGCTCACATACCTGGATAGTTGGTCACCAGTTTGCTTAACTATTTGGGAAGGGTTGAGAGGGGAGGGGTAGGTCACTAGAGGTAAGCTTTGAGGTTTTAAAAGGCTCTGCCCCTCCCCGTTAGCTGTCTCTGCCTCGTGGTTGTGTCTTGGAACATAAAGTGTCAGCCAGTGCTTCAGCACTGTGCCGACCTGACTGCTGGCATGCCCCCACCGCTGTGATCATGGAGTCTAATCCTCTGAGACTGAATTCCCCAGTTCTCTAAGAGGCCTTGGTCATGGTGTCTCTTCACAGCCGTAGAGAAGTACCAAAGATGGCCCTTTTAATCCTTCATATTTAATCCTTAAAAAATACAGACTGAAATGTTTATTGTGTGAGATGAGTGCTTTTATCAATAATTAAAATTGAAAAAAAAAAACAAAAAAACAAAAAAAACTGTGTTTATCTCCCCTAGATCACCAAGGAAAGTAGGACCGTCTGAAAATGTGCTGCCATTGAAACCACTGAACCTGGTTGCTATTCAATAACTAATAACTAATGCTTGCTATTCAATAACTTCTGTGTGAGAAAATGCAAGAAATAAATGGGCAGGGAAAAATGAATGCAAGAGAACCCAGATCAGCCTCTACAGTGAAAGCAAGCTTTTACTGGTCTGAAAGGCAACGCCCCCTGTGACCTGTTGACTCAGCCTCAGAGGGCTCAGAGGGCGGTGCTGTGCAGGCTGAGGGCAGAGTTTGCATTTGAAAGTACAGAGGGGAGAAAGCAAGGCTTTGCCAGACCCTGATAAACTGCTCTTGGGAACCGCAGGGTGGGAGATAAGTCAGGTTGCCCGCTTTTGCAACCTCCGGCTTCAGGGCACATGGTGGGTGTTAGCTGCTTTCTGGAGATTGCACGGGCAGCAGATTTCCTGGAACCTTGCAATTGTTTTAGGGCCCTGGTTTTGGAGGATTTTCCTTTATTCTGACATTGTGGAAAGACACAAATGTGCCATGTTTCTGTCAGAGCGTGCTCACAACATAGGTGCACTGCAGAACACAGTGGTGGGTGAAGAGCGTGGATACTGAGGTCCAGGAAGCCAGAGTATAACCCGGAAGACCGGAAATGTTCAAGGAAAAACAGCCTATATGGGAGTAGAAGCTTCCTCCACCTACTTCTATAGCGACAAGCCAAGAACTGTAGCTTCCTGTCACGCACCTGCTCCCTCTAAACTGTCTGAAGCTCCCTGCATCTTTCTTGAGCGACAGTCGCCTTTGAGATACCTACGGACAAGACTCATCGACGTGCTGACTGAAGGTGACAGTAAAACCCCAAGATGGATGATACTTCTTTTATTCGTTTTATCTCTAAATGGAAATGACGTTAAGGACAGCAGAAATGATAAGGCCATATCAATGCTTGTGTGTATAGATGGGTAGACAGAGATACAATGACCCGGATGCTGGCTTTCTAATCCCTCAACACTGATTTGCATTAGGCATTGTGTGATCTATGAGAAATATTAAACAGAACATATCTAGCATCTTGATGTTACACAGAACAATTTAATTGTTCTGAAAAACCTGTATGTTCCATCTATTCACCTTTATTTTTCCCTGGTCCT